TCCTTTGTCTCTGATCTGTAGTACACAGGCCACTTATAAAGCTAAGAGTGACTAGAGGAGAGAAAAGGGAGACTGAGAGGCTGCAGAGGAAGTGGGAGAGGTAGGAAGGTCAGGGCATGGTTACAAACACCCAAGGCATTCTAGTTGAAGTTGGAGCCAGGCAGGGATGCTGGTTCTCATAGCTTTTGTTGACATGTTGCTGTGAAGTTCTAGTTCATGTATCAAGACACGAGAAAAAGTTGAAAAAGTTAAAAGGGAGGAGCGGGGGTTTGAAACTATTGGAAAGGAGGCACCAAAACTGTGTTGTTGTAAGTTACATAATTGTTTACTTAGAAAATCAAGGGTGAAATTATTTTGAAAATAGCCAGAATCAATAAGAGAGTTCAGAGACTGGTCAGTTACAAAATTACTGATCAGTCAAATCAGATTCCCTGAGAGTGGCAGTCTCCGACCCAGGAAAAGATGACAACTGTTCTTTCATCTGGCAAATGTTTATTGGTATCTGTTGTGCTCAACCACAAAGACATCAAGCCAAGAGTCCTGCCTTGAGCTCACTGTGTCTAGTAGTGAAAATCCCCAGGTTCTTTGGGAGCCGCAGGCAGAATCAGGGTCTGATGAAGATATTTTGATAAACATGCTCACCTGCACCCACAGCTGTGCCCTAAACTTTTCCAGGAGGGTCAGCTGGGACTCAGTGATGGCCCCCTTCCTTTGGTGATAAAGGATTCCCAACCCAGAGAACCACCTTAGTGATGGAAATGTCCCTGGCAATTTTTTTTTTTGAGAGAATTTTTAATATTTATTTTAGTTTTTCGGCGGACACAACATCTTTGTTTTGTATGTGGTGCTGGGGATCGAACCCGGGCCGCACGCATGCCAGGTGAGCACGCTACCACTTGAGCCACATCCCCAGCCCTGTCCCTGGCAATTCTGATGTGTATATCTCCACCTGTGTGGTTGGGCCGGGGCTGGGCCACTTCCCAACAAGTTGTAGGAATTTCCTTCCATCTGTGGATGGATGCTTGGATCTGCCAGAAGGTAAAGATGGCTGGCAGGCAGCAGGCAGCTAGAAGCAGGAGCTCAGCCAGAGGAAGTGGGCAGTGGGAGGGGCTGTGCATCCCTGATGCTCTCCTGGCCTGGCCTCAGCTTAAGTGGGTTTTTGATATACAGTCAAGCAGATGGGGATCCTAAAACAAAGGGCATGCCAACCATTCCTGCCATTCTACTGGGCAGAGCAGTCTTCAATTTACCAGATGACTTTCATTTTATTTATTTTTATTTTTGATGGTAATGGGGATGGAACCAGGACCTTGTACATTGCTAGGTAAGTGCTCTACCACTGGGCTGTATCCCCAACTCTTTTTTAAAAATTTCATTTTGAGACAGGGTCTAAGTGCCCAGGCTGGTCCAGAACTTGCGATCCTCCTGCCTTAACCTCCTGGACAACTGGGATTATAGGCATGTGTCTAGTAGTCCTTGAAGGAGTGCTCTCAGGAAGCTGTTTTGTGTCTCCTCTGAGGCAAGGGAGGCCATGGATTGCACCTTCTCTCCCCTAAATTATGAGGGAGGACACCCCCCTTAGGAAAGAGTACTTGCCTCAGATGTCCATCAGGACTGCCAGGAAATTCTGTGCTGCCAGGAAATTCTGCCAACGACCCTGATTCTGAAAAGTAAGACTGCCACTCTATACAGTGTCAACATCACAGGCTCCTTTGACCTGCAACATACCTGGCAAGCAGAGTCGTGCACATCCAGGGTCAAGGTACCAAAATCAGATGGGAAGCCTCAGCACCAAGAGAGATCAGGATGCTCACCCTTGGAGAGTCCTCTCTTCTGTAGACTGCTCCCATGCACTGATAAACTTTGTGCATAAACAAATATTTATCATCTAGCTGCCTTTTGGAAGTCACAAGGAATCCAGGCACAGAGGAAATGGGGGCCAAAGACATCTGTGGAGCAGAAGCCTGGGGTCCACCCCAGAGTTAGCAATTTGGAGTGCTAGAAGTGCCATTAGAAATGTTTCATGATGGTAGAGACTTTATCTCAAATGCTCACTCTCATCAATGGGTTTTGGGTGCCTAGAGCACAGCACTGAGAATGCGTGGGACATCCTGACCATTGCTGGTAATGTCTGGCATGGACTTAGGGTTGGCAGTCAGCCAACGATAATTCTATTTGAGCCCAGCTTTTTGTTTTTTAAAAAGAGGATGGGGCATGCCCAAGGTTACCCAGTTCAGTCCATCCAGAGTTGAATCTAATTCTATGCTTGATGAAAACTCCACTTCTCCCTGGCTATATCACAAATGATTTCGACCTTGGACTTTAATATCTATATCTCAGCAACTTGGACATGTTTGATGAGCCAATCATCAGAGGTTTCATTGTTGCAGACACTGTGGACGCTAAAGAAACAATAGCTGCTGAGATGTCCTGATGCTCCCTGCACCTTGACTTCTCTGTCGAGGTAAGCTGCTGGTCAGAAAGGTTCCTACCTGGAACTTGGCCTTGGAGTTGGGTGGAGCCTCTAGAATCTTTGGGGGGACGCTGGCTGGCTTATTATTCAATTGCATTCCTAAGAAAAAAGGTATCTTGTTTTTCTAAATAGATATTTCTAGAGAAGTGATAGTTCAAGGATTTTCCTTTTTTCAGTTTTTGGTCAACTGAATCATAAAATATTTTTAAAAAATGAGTAATGTTTGCATATAATACAAAATTCTGAAAATGCAAATGATCAGATAAGTTCCTCTCCTACCCTCTCCCTAGACTTTTTCTTCTTTGATACTGGGAATTGAACCCAGGGATGCTTTACCACTGAGCTATATCCCTAGTCCTTTAAAAAATTTTTATTTTGAATTAGGGTCTCACTAAGTTGCCAAGGATCTTGCTAAATTGTTGAGGCTGGTCTTAGATTTATGATCTTCCTGCCTCCTCCTAACAAGTCTCTGGGATTACAGGCGTGTGCCCAGGCTCCTGCAGACACTGAAGTTCCTCTTTCCAGAAGTGACTCATGTTGTCAGTTTCTTGTGTATTCATCCAGAGGTTTTACATAACAATTGATTAAAGTGAAAAGGCTTGGCACCTAAACTCAGGTGACTATAATGCACACCCAGTGCAGTGTGAAGTAAAATTGGGTGCCAGACTCTTCTGGTCCTGGCTGGTTAGCTTTCTCCCATGAAAAAGTGGTTCCCTTTCTGAAGATTCCACGGCAGTTTCTAAGAAAGGCCACCTTGCCTCTGACAACTGGAGCACATTGTCACAAAGCCCATCATCTCAGAAATCAGGGCCTGTTTGAGGTTGTCCCTTATGTTTAGGTGGGGCCAGGGCGCTACATCTCAGGTGTGCCATATGTGGACCCAGACTCACTTTCCCCTCTCTGTGACATGGGATCCCCAGGCTTCATGGGGCCCACATTCCCTTGAGAGGGAGTTAGGGGTCCATCTGTCATTACTTAACCATCTCTGGTTTTACCTCCACCTTCACCCAAGTGGCTTAGCTAAGAATTTCTTCCCAGCTCCTGAGAGGAGGCAGGGAGAATGTGGTCCCTGCGGCCATCCAGTCTGGGGGATGTTTGAAATGCCTGTAAGCTAGCTTTGCCATGACAGGCGCTTAGTAAGCTGCTGACTGGATTTCAGGAGGTAGAGTGTTTAGTCATGAGTCTGTATTACCAGTGGGACAGAGAGCAGGAGATGGGAGGGAGCATCCACTGGCAGAGCTACATGTTTGGGTGAAAACCACAGAATGAGATCAAGCCTGAAACTTGTAGGAAAGATGCCCTGGGTGGCAGAGTAGGGGTGTGAGAAAGAGGGTGCGGTGAGGCCAGCTGGGGAAGGAAGGGCAAGTCTGGTGCTCTGGCTCTGGAAGGAGCAGGCGTGGAGGTGTCCTGAGGGAGGAGCAGTTCTTGTCCAGGGGTACAGAAGGGAGCCTGGTATGGCGGGTTGGAGCCTATGGCCTGTGGAGCACACACAGGTATTTAACCCTGGAGTTGAGGAAGAGCACCTATGGAGCTTGGGAAAGACATTTTTGTTTCAAGGACTCCCCTATGGAGGCTACCTTGCACCCTTCTTTCTGGGTAGTGCAACTGGGTCTGGGTAGTGCAGGAAGGTCCCTATTTTGGTTACAAGGGATCCTGAAAGAGGCCAGGATGTAGGTCAGGTTAGGACCTCTGGCTGGCATAGGATTTCATGTCTTGAATTCCTCAAAACAATGACAGAGTAGATTGTATATACACATGTAGAACTGCTGGTATCAGAAGCTGAGAGAAAGGCTGGAGGGAAGAGATTCTCTGTGAGAGATTTTGGAGGGAGCACGGGCCTGACACCTTGATTCCAGAGAAATGGACCCAGATCTCTGAATGGAAGATATATTTACACACACACACACACACACACACACACACACACACACACACACAC